GATATTTTCTGTCTTCAGTAACTCCTAGAGTTGCCCGATAGGAAAGTGAGACTTCTTTCCACCTTTTCTTCCAGAAACCCTCTTAAAAATAAATCAAAGTAGTCACTTGCAAATTCCCAATAAAATAACTTATTTAAATGTACAAGGATAGATATTTTGGCCAAGAGGGCTTTATTTATACCTTAACACTCTAAAGACTTTAAAAGCTGGGTCACTGGGTCTCATTTACTTCTACCTTAATCTGTGATTCATCTCTGTAAATGTCATTTTTTTTAGAACTCATACTTTTTGGCCATTTGAGTCAAAATAAGACATGACAGTGAGATCGTGGTAGGTAAAACCTTAAGGATGGTGGTAAAACCTCAAGATTCCTATGCCCGAGTTATTCAATCAAATACTAACCAAGGGACTACTGTGAAGGGATAAGGGATTTTGCAGATGTAGCTGACGTCCTGAAAGCTGCCCTGGCTAACATTCAGAATGAAAAGAGGGACCTCAGCTTCAAAAGGCTCAAAGATCTTATGTGACCAGCAGTCAGCATAATGGCTATGTCGCTGGACTCCCACATAGTTGACCGTGGTTCGAGTCCTGGACTCGGTAGCTTGGACTCACACCGGGTGCATGTGTGTGCGTGCCCAAGATCCAAAGAGAAGAATAGAGGAGAAGGGATTGCAGTGTGGCCATCCCCCTGCAAGGTGATTTCTCGCTTTCTGTCTCTCTCCATCTCTCTGGCAAGCGCACGCACCCTATAGAAAAAACCTCTCCAAAAAAAAAAAAAGGCCTAATTATCTGTCTCTGTCTACAACCTGCATGGGTTTGCAGGTGGATTCTTTCCTAGACTCAAGATAAGATTCCAGACCAATGAACACCTTGACTTTGGCCTTGTGATCTACCCTGGGCAGAGAACCTGGGCAAGCCTGTCCAGACTTGTCCCTGCCAGAACTATGAGATTAATGAATGCATGTCACTGCAAGCCACTACATTTTTGGTAATGTGTTACACAGCAATGTAAAACTACTGCAAACATTATTTTGTTTTCTATTTGGTTTTATTTTTCGACCTGTATATTTACTATAAAAAGACTTTCCTATTTCCCAAAGGTAAACAATGTTAACTGTTTCTCCTTTCTCCTTACACAAACTCCCTAAGAATATGCAAAAAATACACAAGTGTGTATGCGTGTATGCATAAACTCTAAAGCACACACACATAAAATTACAACATGAATATTCTTCATTTCACAATCTCCCTTGGGCATTTTTCCAATACCTACACATAAAAGCCCACCTCATTCATTCTTTATAACAGCCATGTGTATTGAATTATATACCTGAATTTACTTAATCCTATTGATGGACAAGTTAAACAAAAACCCGGTAGTAATTTATTGCTCCATTTATTTGCTAGTTACAAGCAATGCTATACAGTATTTATGATTTTCTGTTATGCCATGAGAATATCAGTAAGATAAAGTCCTTTATATGAATTGCAGGGTCAAAGGGTAAATATAGTTTAAATGTAACCAGTACTGCAAATCTCTAAACAATTTCCCATCTAACACATACATCCTGTGAAAGGGACTCTTCCCTATATCTTTGTTATTATTAAATCCTGTCAATTGAAAACTTTCTTTTTTTTTTCCTGACACTACGTTATGTGAATGATACTCTGTCATTACTCTGGTTCACATTTCCCTTAAGATTGCAGTGAAGCATCATTTCATACGTTTTTCTTGGCCATTTTTCCCCCATTACATGCAATTTAGATCTGATTTTTCTACTGTTGTACCCATCATTTCATATCAATTTATATAAGTTCTTTATATATTAAGGCAGATAGATGGGTTATTAGTTGTGGGCACAAAAATATGTCCCACATTTTGTTTTGTTTTGATTTTATTACACAGAAATGCTCATTTTAGAAGAAATACAATAGTCTTTTGCTCTGAGACTTCTGGTTCACATATGCTTCAAATCTTCTTGGAACTAGGAGCCTGTAAGTTTCTATTTCTCTCTCTTTAAACAGAACTGTCCTGTTCACTGTCATGTTAGGAATCTCTGGCTCTTCCAAAATACAATTTTGTTTGTGAAAGATGTGCTCCTGACACTATGCCAATATTTCTTTTTCCACAGAGCACTACTGACACACCTATAGAAGTAAATTAATGTTTCCATCTGTACTGATTTATTTGATAGGTACAAATCACCGTTCACCGTGTCACTGTGTCTCATATAATCTGCACCTGAGAGAAACAGAAAGTATAACTTTATCTTTTAGGTTAATAAGCCCAAAGAAATGGCAGTTTTCCTTTGTCATATTTTCAGGAAGACATCAAGGATTCTTCACCTGGCATTTTGTGTACGAAGCACAGAATGAGAACGGAGCGACAGAAAGGAAGAGGTAAGGACCCGGCGAATGAACAGGCACTGCGTGTTCTAAAAATGGGAAGACCCTGGTCCTCTATTTGGTTTAAATTTTATCCTTTTTACACAGAAATAGGACTCAATCAAACTGTGATAAACGCCTTTTCTCACAAAAAGTCTGATAGACTTCTACTGCTCTAAGTGGTAACAACCGGTTGGCATCACAGCAAAAAGAGAAACACGCTCAGAACCCAAACCACAGGCTTTTCCCTGCACACTCCACTGACGAGTTCCAAAGGTAATACTGGAGAGAAAAGAACTCAATACAAGTTTATACAGAGAAAAGAAACATAATTAAAAGAATCATTAAGTCTTAACCAGATTTTCTCTTCTCAGTGTTAAAACGGAAGAAAATCACAGCAATAAAAGACTCATCAACAGGCACATAAAGTATGATAAAATTACGATAAAACACTACGAAGAGTCTTAACCACTCTCAATTATATATAAAGAATAGAATTCATCATTCTCTCTCCACCTACACTGCCAAGCACAGTGCTAGGTGTTAGAGGAATGTAAAGATTTTTTTTAAGAAGATGTAATTCCAGCCCCCAAGTAAGGTATTTGGCTTTGCTTGACCTTCTGTTTGTTTTTAGTATATGACAAGGATGTAATAGAAATCTCGCAAAAGTATAAATAGTAATAATAGAGCTGCATATGCATTACAACTCTGGAAATACAGTATCACCAACTCTCTACCTCTTCCCTCGATAAAATCCCCCTCCTAGCCTCTCAGAGGTAACTACTATTGTAATGAAATTGGGCTTTAAAATTATGTTTTCCTTTAGACTCTTAGTATAATTATATGTAACATATAAAATATAAAACTAGTGTATGTATATGTGTGTATATATACATATTTTATAGTATACAGAATTGTAGTATATATATTATATAAGTATGTATAATAGACATAATGTATATCCCTAAACCAAATATTGTATCTAACATGTTAACTTCATATGAATAGTTTAGCTGATACTCTCTTGTGACTTGCTCTTATTGCCCAGCAATACATGCAAGTCTCATCCATGTAGTTACGTGCAGAGCTAGTTTATTTGTTCATTAGGCACACAGGGTTTGATATGACTATGCCTCCATCCCTTCATCCATTTTCCAATTGATATTTGCTTACTTTCAAATGTTTAGCTATTACAAACAAAGCTGCTTTGAGTGGCCTAGAACGTGTCTGCATATATACAAGAGCTTCTCTGAAATATTATATGGGAGAGGCATTTCTGGACATTAGTGGTCACTTTACAGTATCATAATTTTATCAGCTTACCTTTCACTTTGTTTTCTCATTTTATTACTAGGGGGAACATGAGATTTTATTCCAAAGAAACAACTAACTCTCTCTTCTTTACCCCAGACTTACAACAGACAACTACCATTTTGTTTTTTGTTTTTGTTTATTTGGTAGGTTTTTGCGATAGGGCACTTGCCAGAAATCAGAGACAGAGAGACAGAAAGCAAGAAATCACTCCCAGGGGGGATGGTCATACTGCAATCCCTTCTCCTCCATTCTCCTCTTGGGATCTTTGGCATGCAGGCACATGCGCCCAGCGTGAGTTTAAGCCACTGGGTCTGGGACTCAAACCATGGTTGACTACATGGGAGTCCAGCGACATAGCCATTATGTCAACTGCTGGTCCCTGACAACTACCATTTTCAATCTGAGCCCCCGGGACTCAACGTCAGCCTCTGGGGGGAGACTGTCAAAAATCTGAAGTCAACATCATCTAAGAGTCCATCAGTGTCAAATCTGAGATTTCACAGGAGTATAAGGAAAGTAGGGCTAATGTTCATCATTCCACCCAATATTCTTCACCATACTCAAGGGACCTTCTGAAAATATAGGCCCTCAAAATCCTTAAAAGGCACTCAAAGTCAAAACTCCTTCCTCTCTCTGACCTTCATCTATCTCTCTATCTTTATGTTCTCTTACACAATCAAGGACACACAGCTCATCCCTTGAGCCGTACGCTGGGAATTCCCTTTCTTCTACCCTTTTTCTACCTGCCAGTATCTTGCCCATCTTTCAACATCTTGGGCAAGTGGCTCCCTTCAAACTCTCCTAGCCTTTCCTAACTGGGATTAACCTTTCTCTTCTTTGAATCATCTTGGCTCAAACTTTGAAAAACAATCTTCATTGCATAGCTTAGCTTTTATAATACCACTCTATCTTCCTTATAATTCTGTGCAGTACTTGAGGCCAAGGGCCTTATCTCCTGAATTTTCATCATCCTTACAATGACTATCATGATAAAATACAAACGTGCAATTCTGGGGAGAAACATGCTGAATAGTTTTTAACACTAATCTTCATGTGACCTATCACATTTTCAGTTCTCAAGGAAAGTCCAACACAGAAATATGTCTTGTATCATCCACAAATTTACAAATAGTGAAAGAAAGAATTTTAAAAAGGACTTCACATAAAAAGGAATTCTATGTTTCAGAGTCTAAGCATCCAAATGGTTGATAGGTTTGGTTTGAACTGATCAGAAAAAAAAAAACCTAAGCAACTTAGAAAAGGACAAATAGAAAGAAAACCAAAGAATGATGGTCAGTTACCTGCATGAGCAGAGAGAGGTGAGTGCGGTCGAGGCAATGCTGGTGACGGTCCATTGCCTATCAAACTTTTCCTGTTGCTTGTTCGGCAACTGTCAAAAAAGAAAGGAATAACAGTTTTAAAGGAGACTACAGCATCGACAACGTGCAAGCATCTTAAAAGTAGACACAGACAAGGTTAAAAACCAATGTGCTCATGTGATTGCTGAAATATTATGCATTCACTCACATGTGAGGGGATGGCTGCCTCTTGAATATTAGGAAATATAATGTATTCAGGTAGCATAACACCATCAATATTGTTCACCACCAGTGAAGCTATAATCGAATGCCTTCTTTCAGTTCTTTGACTGTGAATGTGTGACATGCCATACACACAAGTAATAAATTACAGATTCAAATCAGTACACTACAGGTAGCATCTTTGCTGACATAAAATTTCTAATACAAAATTACGTGCAATGGAGTGCAATGACATTAATCTTACAAGGATGCACTAATTAAAAATCTAATTATTTAGACAAATTTCATATTTGTGTCTTTTGTCGATAGAACAGCCGATGCCTGAGATAAATGTATTTCACCGCTCATTCACATCTTTCATCTTGTATACTGCATTCAAATTCCTTATTACAGTAAATGTTTTAGACTCACAAAAACAGATTCCAGTGAATTATAATAAAAGCAATGGTCCTTTTTCACAGACATGCCAGCTACTGGTTTGATCCTGAATACTTAGTAAGTAGGAGTAAATGACTACATGTGGGCACAAGGCAACTTTTTGTTCGGTTTGTAAGTTTTACAATAAAGTGGCTAATTTGATAACTTTCATGAGCCTCAAAGAATAGAACAAAGCCAGTGATGGTGAAATGAATATTATCTTATTTTAATTTGCTTTTTCAATAGATTGGCACCTCACCCTCTACTGTCACTACTAGTTAGAAAACGGTGATAAAAACAGGAAGTTACTTCATTCAGTTCACCTATCACATGGCTCAGGGCACTGCGACTGTATTCTCCTCCACTGTCCTCCACTGTCCTCAGCCACCATTAAGAATTTACTGCAACGCCTTCTTAATTCAGAGCAGACCTGTTATACCTGGTTCCCGAAACAGGAATTGTCACTTGACCTTTAAATTAAGTACAGTGAGTTGATATACTGGGTTGCTGGTAAAGACATGATGGTCTTTTCTAAGCAAAAATGCATCATGACTTTTCCAGCAACCCAATATTGCAGGGTTTATATAAAATAGTAGAAAGCAATGTTTCTAAATACTTATATGACACATTTCGAAGCCAAACCCAATTCATTCCAGCAATACTGACTTGCAAGCCAATCCTCTCTCCTAGACGTTTGCTGCCTGTTACCATTTGTCAACATTTCCATATTTCTGGTTTCCTAAGGTCAAGCCGCATCATTTTATTTCCCTTACTACAGCAATCAAAGTCTCCTACTGTTATCAGTGAGTTTAATTAAGATCCTGTTTACTCAGCCTTAAAGAAGTTGTTGAATAAGAACAGACCCTTGAAACTTAATTATAAAGGTAGATTGTGGCATTACCAGCTCGGCTATCAAAAACTGTATCTGACCTATTAAGTTCATAGTCATTGAATCAGATAGTCTGATTATTTTAAAAGAAATTGTATAACGTATTTAGTGTCAATTCAAATTAATGTCTCCCTTCATTTTCATTCATGAATACTAAGTATATTAACTTGTGCATGTTGATACAAGAAATTAAAAATGACAGATATATTTCCTGGAAATCTCAGTAGTTATTTGAGCAAATTAACTGCAATTCAGGTAACTGCAAAAATGGCTATTTGTAATTTTTTCCACAGTATTTGAATTATATTATTTGCAAAGATTTTTCTCAACATATTTAATTATTGTTTATACATGTAAATAAAATGAATAAGAAATGTGTATTGTTATAAACAGTAATCTAATGAATAATTTATCTAGGGATATTAGTGAAATTTGCTGACTTATCAAAAACTAAAATTTAGAAAATGGTCTTTCTTCAAGAAAACTGAATTTTCCTAAGATTTACAGCATGACTAGCACGCAAAATAAATCTTGGTACTTATAAAGTATGTATTAGCCTCACAAATAAATTGTTGCTAGCATTCTCAAGCAAAAAGGGACATTTTACACTGCATTTACACCCCAAATACCTAGTTTTATATGCGTATTAATATGTCTAAAATCCTGGGCCCTTACTGAGGTAGTCTGTGGATAACTTTTCTAACATGGAGGAAGGGTGGTCATCCAGTTGCAATACTACCTGCTTGTGGTTTCTCGGACAGCTGTGTCATCTCAGCACCGTAGGTACTTGATGCAAATAAACGAATCAAACCTACACGTTACCCCACAGACAGAAAACACCAGGTGGCAGGACCGAGGGGTATTTTTCACCTGGACTGCCATAGCACCTTGCTCCACCCACATTAGTAATGATGCCAGGGCGAAATGCTGAGCAGACTTCTGTCACAAGTATTGTTCACTCGGGTGTCACATACCTCTCTGCTCATGAATGAATGAGTTTATGACATCCAAGTGAGAGGCGGGCTCCCCAGCACTCAATGCCACACCCACTTATTAATCCAGAAAGTATACAATAATGGGAACATCTCTACCTGGGCAAAGTAATGGTTCCTTCTCTTTCACCAGTACAATGAAGTGGAAGCTACCTTGTTTTTTTTTTTTTTTTTTTTTTGCTATAGGGCATGTATGCTAGCCAGACAGAGACAGACAGAGAGAAAGCGAGAAATCACCCCTCAGAGGGGATGGTCACGCTGCAATCCCTTCTCCTCCATTCTCCTCTCGGGATCTCGGGCACACACGCACACATGCCCGGTGTGAGTTTTAAGCCACCAGGTCCGGGATTTGTACCGCAGTCGGCTACATGGGAGTTCACTGACATAGCCATTACACTAACTGCTGGTCTCTATCTTGTTTTTTCTCAAGCAAGGTCACCAAAGAGAAAAACAGACGATGTCTTACTATGTAAAAAGGGCCAGTACCTCTCCTAGAGCAGCGATAACTCAACTAGGTTATAATCCACCCCCGTTCAAGCTGGGTTTGTAAAGGGTTATGTCCAGTTTTCAGCCTCAGAGACACAGATACAGGACCGCAAAAACGAAACCAAAGAACAGTTATGAACTCAAGTTCCAACTATTCCAGCCTCAAACACACTCTGAACTTCACTTTCCCAAGAAGCAATAGAAGTTATTCACCCCGCCTGTGCGCCAGCATGAATGCCAGACATGGGAATATCTCCCTCCCACAGTCCCTCCTCTCGGTGCTCCAGCCCAAGCACCATGTGGGAAAATGGACTTTTCCGGTGGATAATATGCTCAGTTTGTTCTCTGAATTTGGAAGGCAACCGCCATTGTTCTATGAACACAATGGCACAGTCATATTCTTTTCTTGCAAAATTAGAATTTAGCTTGAGAAGACAGCCATATCGACTGGAGACAAAGGCAAAGCTAAACAATGGGTTAGAACAGGGGCAGAGAATCCCAACTAAGCACTTCTTTTTAGGTCATTCCTTTGCTGCCTCCCTGGAAGGATCCACTCAGAGAGAACTATGAGGCACAGAAAGGGCGCTCTTAAACCCTCAGGGCATGTGATGACCTGGGATCTGACAAGGACGGGAAGGTGGAAGGATGTCTGAGTGGGTAGGCCCGGCTGGTCCCTGAGGGCTGGGAGGCAAGCAGATGGGACAGGACACCATGTGTAAGAACGTCACAGGTGACAGACACTGGGTGGGGATGCTTTAGAGTGAGGCCACCACAAGGGAGTGTTTTGCCTGTGTCAGGCAGGGGAAGTGAGGACTGAATGGGGCACAACCCCTGCGCCCTGACTGCACCGTCACCATCACCTGAGCAGTTTCACAAGGAGCCTCTCAATCTCTTCATTACTGCTGACAGCACCTCCTATTTGCTAGGAAGATGCAGGGGCATAACGAAGTCAGGCCTGACCCAGTGTGAGGTCAAAGAACATGGGCTACTAGGCTGAAGGAGGAGCAGGGAATGTGGTGTTTGCTCTGCTGGTCCAAAGTCCCCAGGTGCCATTTCTGCCTCCACTGTCCTTAGGCTCAGGGCTCCATCAGAAAGGCTTGGTGGGGCCTGTAAACATTAGGCATCTGGATCTGTCACATGACTGCTGGCAGAAGAACCTGCTTATCATCCCCTATCTGGTCTCCAAAAGCTGTGTGGCACACCAGGCTGTGGCCTTTTGCAACTCTTCTGAGTAACTGAAGTCAAACTCAGTTCCAAATTATATTCACCTGGAGACATGAATTCTGGTGGTGCCCGATCACGGCAAGATACTAAGGAGGGAAACCCCAGCAGGGCGTGATTTTTACATTCACGGCTGCCTTGAAAGTTAGCACTCAGGACACATCTGACTAGCCACCACTGAGGGGCAGTAATCATGCAATGGACGGAAGAAGAGCCTCAGCAGTCTTGAAAACAAAGACTACAATTTATTACTTCAGCTTGATGAAAATTGTGATAAATTTGCACAAGAGAACAATTAAAGACCAAAACTTTACCACATATGAACACCTGCTACCTATATCCTAACACCTTAATTGAATCTGGACAGGAGAAGGGGTAGAAATCATCTAGCTAATGTAGTATTGTTGAATAAATGTTATAAAATAGATAGGCTTCTGTTTGCATATCTTTACAATGAAGGGACTGGGATCAGATGAGAGAAATGGTCCTACATTTATTGTATTGTATCGTATTGTATTGTATTTATTTTCTTATTTTTGGAGAGGTTTTTTGCTATAGGGTATATGTGCTCCCCAGAAAGACAGAGAGACAGAAAGTGAGAAATCACCCCCCAGGGGGGATGGCCACACCACAATCCCTTCTCCGTTCTCCTCTGGGGATCCTGAGCACTCAGACACTCCCGGCCAGAGTTTAAGCCACTGGGCCCAGGACTCTAATCCTGAGCACTCAGACACTCCCAGCGTGAGTTTAAGCCACTGGGCCCAGGACTCTAATCATGGTCAGCTACATGAGAGTCCAGCGACATAGCCATTATGCTAACTGCTGGTCCCCTACATTGATTCTA